AAGGACGGGGACGAATGGAAGACTGCATTTAACTGCCCCATGGGGTGCTATCAATTCAAAGTCTTGCCATTTGGATTACAAGGGGGCCCTGCAGTCTTTATGCAATTCATCAATGACGTTCTAAGGGAGCACCTGTTTAAGGGGGTCCTTGTTTACTTGGACGACATTCTTATCTTTACCGAAACAAAAGAAGAACACGTCAAACTTGTCAGAGCGGTTTTAAAGAAGCTGCGAGCCGCTCACCTATCTGCCAAACTCTCACAATGCGAATTCCACCAGGAAAGGATAGACTACCTAGGCTATCGCATATCCCCACAGGGCATTGAAATGGACCCAGAGAAGGTCAGAGCAGTATTAGAATGGGCACCACCCCGCACAAGAAAGCAACTACAAATTTTCCTGGGCTTTGCAAATTTTTACCGCCAATTCATCCCCTCATTTGCACAGATAGCCTTGCCCCTCACTAACTTACTACAAACGAAGGGAACATCCTCAGTAAAACCTAGCCAGCCACTAAAATGGACAATGGAGTGCCAAGCAGCGTTTGAGAGACTAAAGAGACTTTTTTCTGCCGAACCAGTACTAAGGCACCCAGACATTGACAAACCCTTCATAATACAGGCAGATGCAAGTGATGTGGCAGTGGGGGCTGTGCTATTACAAGAAAATGATGATGCAGTATTGCAACCCTGTGCATATACATCTAAGAAACTCACGGAAACAGAACAGCGCTGGCCCGTAGGGGAGAAGGAGGCTTATGGGATACGTTGGGCATTACTCACGTGGCGACAGTTCCTGGAAGGCAACAAAATCCCCTTCCAGGTATGGACTGATCACAAAAATTTAGAAGCCCTGAAAACTTCCAGAAAACTCAATCCCAAACAAGCCCGCTGGTCCCAGCATTTTCACCAATTCCAAGTTAAGCTCAAACATTTACCAGGAAGAAAGAACTTCCTGGCAGATGCACTATCTCGCATGCCCCAATATAACAGCGCACGAACCACAGACTCTAGACCAATAATGGCAGAGTCACAACTGGCAGCGCCAGTAACCACAAGAACCCAAGCCAAAATAAAACCACAACTGGACAACCAAACTGGGATTGAATTCAGAAAAAGTTTGGAAACAGATGAATGGTTCCAGAAAAACAAACATGTGTGCACAATGAGAGACGGATTGCCTTGGGTAGGGGAAAAGTTATATATAACAACAACTCAAAGACTAACTTTCATGCAACTTTGCCATGACACAAAATCAGCAGGGCATTTTGGATTTGTAAAAACTTTACACTTAATTAAACGGCAATTTTGGTGGCCATCAATAAAAACGGACATAGAAAGTTATGTTGCCAGCTGCCCAACCTGTGCATCAGCAAAGAGGTTGCAAGGGAAATCGCCAGGGCTGTTACAACCAGTGGCAAGTCCCTCAGCCCCCTGGAGGAAAATAGCCATGGATTTTATAGTGGAATTGCCTGAAAGCAATGGGAATACTGTTATCTGGACAGTCACGGACCTATTTTCCAAACAGGTGCACTTTATCCCTTGCCAAAAAATTCCCACTGCAAAGGCATTAGCAAAACTTTTTATCCAGCACATTTACAGATTGCACGGGGCACCCCAACGCATCATCTCTGATAGGGGAGTGCAATTTACGTCTACATTTTGGAAGGAATTTTTATCCCTCTTAGGGACCACTCAGGGACTGACATCTAGCCATCATCCACAAGGGGATGGACAAACGGAACGCTGCCATTCGGTACTTGAGCAATATTTGAGATGTTTTTTAAATTTCCAACAGAGTGATTGGACGGACTTACTTCCTTTTGCAGAAGTTGCCTACAATAATGCAGTCCACTCCAGCACAGGCTACACTCCTTTTCAAATAGCCAACGGCCAAAGTTTCAACCCTATGCCAGAGTTAACCCCAAACGAACCAACGATCCCTTCACTGAAAGAATGGATGGAAAACCTACAAAACACCTGGCCAATAGTCAGAAAATCACGAGATGAAGCTAGGCAGGCATACAAAGCACAAGCCGATAAAAAAAGGGTTGAGCCTACACCATTCATTATAGGAGAAATGGTGTACGTATCTACAAAATACCTAAAGTCCCTACAGCCCTGTAAAAAACTTGGACCAAAATATATAGGACCTTTTCCAATTAAAAGGATCATAAATCCAGTAACAGTAGAATTAGAATTACCCAAAAACCTCAGGCAAATACACCCAATTTTTCATGGCAGCTTGCTGAAAAGAGAGCATCAGTCACCTCTACGGCCAAAAATCCCCCCCCCCACCACCTCCAATCATGGTGGAGGGGGAACAACACTTCGATATAAAAGAGATCCTTGACTCTAGGAGATATCGTGGAACAACTCAGTACCTAGTTGCCTGGAAACACCTCCCTGCCTCACAAAATGAGTGGGTCCATAAACGTCACGTCAGAGCCCCGAAGCTAGTGAAGAAGTTTCACACAGAGTATCCTAACAAGCCTAACTAAATTTTTTACGTGTGTTTTCTTTCAGGTGGATCTCTCTTATTGTTAAGAGGGGCCGGATGTCAGAATCCAATTATATTTCATCTTTAATTATCAAACATAGAAACTCCCAATTCTGCCTTCTCTGGATTCTGCCATAAGAGGGAGAAAAGGGGGAGAGCAAAGGGGCTTTATGGCCCTCACTTCCTTCAGCACACGTCAAAGGACTGAATGTGTGTTTATTGTGGCCTCTAAGCTTTAACATATCAAAGAAGAGTAATTGCCTTTCATGTAGTTATCTGAAGTCTCCATCCAGACGGAAGAAGAAAGGGGATGGAATTGTGATACTTGAAACTATCACTGGAAGGGGGGTTGATTGGGTGGGACTACTGGGGAACCCCTTAAAACCTTGAATGGGAGAGCTTGAACCCCAAGTCCTGTCTAGCATGCCTGCAACCATTTTCTCTTAATAAAGGATTCCTGTTGGAAGAATTATTCCAAGAGTTCTGTCTTCTTAAGATGCAAAGTGGGGTGGGTCCTTACAACCGGTCCTCACATTTATGTCTGAACACTTGGCCACCAGCCTGTATTTATGACAGTTACCATATCCTGGTGTTGTGTGACTGCCATTTCCGATCTTCCCAGCTGGCTTCCAACAAACAAAGTCAATGGGGAAGCCAGATTTGCTTAACAAACATGCGACTCACTTAAAACTGCAGCGATTCACTGTGGCAAAAAAAGTTGTAAAATCAGGTGTGACCCCAACCTAACAACTGCCTTGTTTAGCAACAGAGATTCTGGCACCAACAGTGGACATAAGTCAAGGACTACTTGTATGGATGGTTACTTTGATGAGGGACATACAAGCCTGAGTTGTAAAACCCCAAATTAAATCACCTGGGATGCCTCTTCACTGTCATCTAATGCCTGCCTGCATTTTTACAACCAAGCTATGCTAGCGTGAGCTTGAGGCATATCAGCTCATATGCTGACTTCATGTACTAGTTATTGCTAATTAATATGATCTAGATTGGGCTTTCCAACCTTGTGTCCTGCTGTGTTGAAATGATTGCTCTCTGCATTCCAAGCCAGCTTTAGTCATGTAAGTTGATGCTTCTGGGAGTTGTCAAATTGGCACCTTGAACAGGCAGCAGACCAGTGGTTCTCAACCTTTTTAATGCCGCGACCCCCAACCGGTCATAAGTCGAGGACTACTCAACCGGTCGTAAGTCGAGGACTACTCAACTGGTGCAGCACCGTTTGCAGAATGCGACTTTTGGCGGGCTCAGCAGGGCAGAGACAGCCTGGACAATTCCTATTGGCTTTTGAAAGCCAATAGAATTAGACTCTATTCAAGAGAGTCTATTCTATTGGCTTTCAAAAGCCAATAGAATAAAAGGGAGTAGCACAGCTAAGGAAAAGGGGGAAAAAAATGTCGGACTGCCTTGTTTGGTGACCCCCATGAAATAGTTGTTTGATCCCAAATGGGGTCCCGACCCACAGGTTGAGAACCACTGCAGCAGACAATGAAAGCTATCTGAACTTAAAATAGTATGAGTTTGCCTTGTTGAGATTCTTTTCTGAATCTCTGAGATTTTCTTATGTTCAATGCTGCACCAGTTCTTCTCTTAAAACATTTCAAAGATAGCAGTAGTATTTAGACTAGTATTTGGTATTTGGTATTTGGTGTTTAGACTTATATACCACTTCATAGTGTTTTACAGTCAGTGATGGGATTCAAATATGTGAACAACCGATCCTCTGGGTGGATGCCACTTCCAGAAGTCCATTCTGGGCCTGGGCAACAAAAAATTAGCTACCAGTTCTGCTGAAGTGGTGTGAACTGGTTGAATCCCACCACTGTTTACAGTCTTCTCTAAGTGGTTTATAGTCAGTATATTGCCTTCAACAATCTGGGTCCTCATTTTACCAACCTCAGAAGGATGGAAGGATGAGTGAACCTTGAGCCAGTGAGATTTGAACTCTGGCAGTGAACAGTGAGCTAGCCTGCAAAGCTACATTCTAACCACTGCACCACCACAGCTCCTAAGACCCCTTAGTAATCATTTTTGCCTATTCAATAAGAACCATAATCTATTTTCTAGTTGATTTTCATAATTTATCCAATTTGTACAGTTCTGAGTTATTAGTATTATCCTGAGTTATTTCAATTAGAAGCTGGTGAATAGTAGGATTGAAGATACTGACAAAACATTTTGTATAGAGAGAATATATGTTATGTGATACATAGTATATGTGGATATTGGCAATTTCAAGGAAAGCGTAATACCCATGCACACCTTTCTTACTAGAAAAACCTTACTTCTGTATTGCTGAGTTATTTACAGCCAGAAGTATTTAATTGATAGAAAGTATCAGCTTCTATGATCTGGAATGAACTCCCTTGGAAGAACATACAAGTTGAAGGGTCATTTCTTTTCTTTTTCTAAGAAAACAAAAATTAATTCTAGCATTCAGAACAGACCATTGAAATAATGAATAAAAGAAAGGTTCATTTTTTCCCAATAAGTTGTTTTTACTGTACATTTTGTAGCAAAAGAGGAAGGGAAAAGAAAATATTTTGATCACAGGGATGCCATTTTCTAAAACTTCAAATAGGAAACATGACGGATAACAGGATCAAATACATAGCCATGTCACAATATATCTCTGAGCTGAGCTTTGTCTTAAAAACAAAAACCGAGATGGTATATGAGTGTTCTCTTTGCCTTTTTACAATTCTGTTCAGCACAGTCCCTTTGAAAAAATAAATAATGTGCCATTTCAGAAAGAGCTTCCCAATGGACAAATCTTTGGGAGCAAATAAATACAAAAAACAATTCTGAATTATAGGCTGTGGCTCTAAAGGCCAACATTTCACTTCTGCCATGGAGTAGTGTTTTGGGAGGGCAGAATTTGTGCATTCACAGCTCTTCCAGATCCATTAATGCATTTGATTATCACTTAAAAAGGCATAATGGGTAGTCTCAAATGGACAAGGGTTTCGACAAGAAAGACAAATATGTGAACATAATGTGGGACACAGAGAGACTATATAGCACTGTGAATCTGGGGCCCTCCTAGTCTACACTGTATTTTCCAGAGCAAATGAGGAATATTCTCATAATCAACCTTGGAGTCTCATGTGATGCTGGAGATTTCATGTCCCTTTCTTCTGACTGACATGATGATATACCAATTTGTGGTATTTAATATGAAGGCTATGAATCCCCCCTCCCTCTTATAATGTTTATGAGTTGGATTTTTTTTACTGTTGTTTATTGATTAAATAGTGATTTTGGATCCTGGGCCAGAAATAAGAACATTTTTCTCCTTTCTCTCTCAGGTTATAAAAACTGAATTTCTCTCTTCTACCCTGACACTAAACTCTCTCATATTCTTAATAACCTATGGCCATCTGTTGATGAATAAAATAAGATTGAAAAATGATAACACCTCAATTATTAATAATCAATTATTAGATTTTTTCTGGGAAAGCGCTATGGATTTTTTTTTTTAAAGTTATAACAAGGGAAGGCAGTGAGTATGGACTGTTGGATTATTTTTTTTTCTGGAGAGGGGAGAATCTTCAGGTAAACAGTGGCAAGATCTTTTCAAAATGTTGCTTTTAATCTTAATGTTAATTTGTGTGTTCAGGGTTTCTTTTTCCAGATATATTGGTTATACAGTGGCAGCTGAGATTATTTCCCTGTTAGTTTTGTATCCACTGAAATGTTCTTCTCAGACAATGAGAAAATGAAGACAAAAATAATTCTCCTAAGAATAGACACTTCTTAACCAGCATTAATCCTCTTTCAATTTTGTTACACAGTTCACTGGGAAACTGGGATAGCACTGAATGTTTCCAGTGAATTCCTTGAGACATTCACACAAATATAAATAATATGTTGAGGGCATATCACCATCTCCTTACACACATGCACACATCCTATAAACGTCTCATAACTTCTTTTACTCCACTTGAATTTTTATGTTAATACTTATTGACCAATATGTGGCTGAATGTGTGTGTGTGTTTTTGTTTTCCTTCTATCACATTTATGGCCTTTTGAACTCATGGACTTGGTTATGTTTGATAGGACTAAGAATGGAATGGAGGGCAACTTCTATTTACACTGTGCTTTCCATGACCCACTCAGAACTCCCATAAGTTCCCTTTGATTCTGTCAGGTCACTGTCATTGTACTGTAAAAGCATACCATTCACTGACAAACTACGTTTTGTCCAAATGTTTGTGATTTTTTTTGGGTAGTTGCAACACTGAGAAGTGGAAAAGTCCCCCATGTCAAAAGAATGGCTACGCTTAGTTTTACCCTCCAGTGGCAACATGAGGAGGCTACGAAATTTGGATTCCTGCTGACCCAAAAGTGGCTCCTTATCTGAGTGACGGACCACTGTAGAAGTTCTTGAGTCTATTGTTTCCTCTTTTTTCTGACACTTCAAGTCCAGAGAGGCAAAAGCTCCCATGAGCCGATCAATATTGTGATGCTTTGATCTTGATGGGGGCCTCCATTTACTGGACAATGTGCCCTGCTCACTTTGGAGGCTATAGCCATCACAGTCACGGCTGTTCATGGAACTAGAGGAAGAAGAGATACTGCTGTGTGCTGACTCACAGTTAAACTCCATGAGTTCATTCCTTACCACAACTTTGGGATTCACTTGTGGCAGGACTCCATTCTGGACAGGTTGAGATCCATTTGTTTGAGAATAGACATTGCTAACATTGGCCATCTTGCCAGGATTGTTGTTGCAAACCTTGTACCGCACCATGAGTATGATGATAAATACCAGCAGAGTAGCCACAATGATGCCTCCAATGATTAAAATCATGGTCCCACCCAGAAACTGGCTGTGCATGGACTGGCACTGGGGATAGTCCTCTTTGGTGTAGAACTGGGCACAGCCTACTATGTTGGTAGCAGTGAGTGTTGTGGCAGTGTCATCCCACAGGGCCAGAACACAAAGATCATAGCCTGTTCCAGAAACCAGGTTGTTCACCACAAAGGCTTTATTTGTAGCTGGAATCATCCTTAAAGAGAAAGAAAAGAATAGCATTAGATTAATTTGCAAGAGAACAGTAGACTGGCATGGCAGAGAAACTGTGGACTTCAGAAAACTAAATAATGGCAATAATAGGTACAACAATTGAATTCTAAATTGTTTTTTTGTTCACCTGAGCATACAAACACAACAATCTTCTTTATTTCTGAATATGTGATTTTAAAAAACTTATTCTGCCATCATATCTTGGGAGTCCTCACCATGGTACAAGAACTGGCCTTAAAAGATTAGTGGCATTTTCACCATGGTTAGGTAAATCATATATTCCGACTTCCTTGTTGGTATACTCTTTACATATTACAAATCATAATGCCTGAAGTCCCAAATTGACAAAGCACAAGCATTCAGAATACAAAGAAGAGAAATTACTTCAGTTTAATATCTAACAAGATTATCAAAACATACATTACAAGCTTTTATAGCAGATAGGTAATTAGTGTTATTAGTCTGTTTTCTTTTGTCTGTATTTTTTAATTGTTTCAGCATTGTATCAGATGTAAGTTGTCAAATCTATTGGAGTGGCCACTTACAATAAATCAAGAAAAATAAATGTATTTGTTTAATTTGTATGCTGCCTGACTCCCTATGACTCTGGGCAGCACAAATAAGATTATGATTGCTATATAAGGTTGTAATTGCTATATCTTGTGTATAATCTTGGGGTCAACATTACCTTCAAAGCATTTTCTGATGAGTTGGTGCTTTTTTGGGATCAAGACTTATGAGATACAGGGGAGTCACAGTCTCCTGCCAAAGAATACCTGGAGGGAACTTTCCTCTCCAGAAATGGAAAAGTCTAGAGATGACAAGTTGCTTCCCATACTCTGCCACCTGGCATCATACCAGCCAAGTGACAGAGACAATGCAGGCTTCAAAAACACAGATTCAGTAAACTTGTTTATATCCACCAGGCAAAGCAGTTTCCCCCTTCTGGCCAGATTTCAATCATTTATTGCATCTCAGTTCTGCTAGATACATAACAAGCAATGGCTTTCATGGGGATTCTAAGAGCAGTTCTTCCTGAATTGCAAATCAAGAAGGCTTGTCTTTGCCTGCATAGAATTGAATGAGCATAACTTTTATTAGTTCCACACCGGAAAGCATTTATAACATTTGAAGAGCTTTATAGGAACCCACAGAGGCACCTATAGGAAATAAACCATAGGTAGTCTTTAATGTTAGTGTTTTATGTATATGAAGCACCCTAAGGAAGACCATCTGAAAATTATCTCCATAAGTGTTTTCCCAATATTATCAGTTAGCTCAAAATTTTCAAGCAGAGGAAAAAATCAGTCACAACATATGGACTTTACTCACAAACATCTAGGAATGTCAGAATATGGTAGGCAGGGATAATTAATCACCCTCTGCCATTTGCTCCAATGAAGGAGACAATTTGTTCTTTGATGACAAACTTAACAAAAGGTTCAGTTTAGCCTCAAGAGTTAACATAATAGTTTCTTAGTTATGTGATACAGATGTTTGCCTTTCAATACTGGAGGGGGGGGGGGACACTGAGTAAGAGGAAGAAAATTCTTCCTTTTCCACAAAGCCCAGTTGAAGTAAATGTCAGCTTCAGGTTGTCATATGAGCGAAACATAGATTTGTAAGAAACATTTTTCATAAGAAAGTCATTTTTCATGCTATGCCTAACAGCATGTCTTGAATAGTAGCAGCAAGACATTCATCTTTTAAATCAATTAATGTGTTTTCTTCTATCAAACCACTGATTGGTGAACCAAGAATATTTTTTTAACATTCCCCTCCACCACTGCTGTTGCCCTATGTCATTGACTACCAAATAGCTAATTAGTACATCACCAGCAATGACTAACTAACTCCAAACCCAGAACTGATCTTCTGGATAGTGTCCTTCTCATTCCTATGTTACCAGTCAATACACTCTTTATTGTCTACACCCAAGACAGACCAATCTCACCTCTCTGCCCTTGATATGCTACTGGCACCACCACAAGTTATTTCAAAATGACTAAAATGATGACCCTTAGCCTCTTATATCTTGTCCACTAGTTATTCTATGCAAGAAACTGAACCATACCATGCTAGAAATAAAAAGACCATTTTCTCCAAAGGAACTTATTGTTATCTTATTTATTATTTGCAGTCCAATTTAAAGAATTAAAGTTCCATTGATTTGTTCTATCTTACAGATTACTTTTAAGTTCACATGTACTATCAATTAAGAACCACTATTATAAAATATCCAGTTAAATATGTCATTCTAGAATAGTGTTTTTCAACCTTGGCAGTTTCCAGATGTGTGGATTTCAGTGAATAGAATTTCCCAGCCAACATAAGTGTTGCTATTGATGCTAAAAGCTGAAGTCTACACAGCTGGAAGCTCTCAAGCTGGCAAAGCTCTCAAGCTTCTGAGCATAGAAAAATTAGGGGCACCGTAAGTTTGTTGCTGAGACAAATAAAATCTTCAACTAACAAAGTGAAAAATGTGGTCACTGCACACAGAGCCTTATTTATTGGTTGATAGCATTTCCTGTTGGTTCAAAAAGCCATTGCATGATTCCCATCATTACCAGACAAGGAATATAAACATGATGGTGTTTGTTCCCTAATTCAAAACTAAAAGCTTCTTCCCTGACTATTGGTAAAGTAATGCTTTATATATATTAAAGAGAATTTATAAAGATAGATTAAGCATCTTCTCTAGAATCTCTTTTTTGGGAATTCAGTATCAGAAGTAATACCAAATAATTAAAATAATGTTAAAGGAAAGCCACCATGGCATTGGTTTAAATTAAACTGCTATATGCCAGTTTTTTTCTATCTAAACAAGGGAACTAGAGTTACAAATAAATATACAGTGAAATTCTACTTAAAAGAAAATAAACAAGCAAAACAGATGAACATCACATGGATGAATGAGAAAGAACAGTCAAGAAACTGTGATTATCATTCATCTTTCTTTGGGTCACTGTATGATAATAGTATTGTATGTGAAAATGGGGACATCTAGATTTTAAAAGTTAAACTACAGTTGGTCTCAAGAAAGTTCATTTGCTGATGACCATATCAACATACCCATATAACTTTCTTGGCAATGATATGAAAATGATTTTAGATTGCCTAATTCTAGGATACCTAGCTCTTATCAGAGCTGCAAGTTCAATACTACTTTTATTGAAAAAAATATGTAACAGAATCTTGAAAATCTCCCACCTCTCTCTTCAAGTGAAATAGGGAGGGATTGTCTTAGACTAGGGGTATTCAAACTTGGCCCTTTTATGACTTGTGGACTCCAACTCCCAGAATTCCTCAGCCAGGCACACTGAGGAATTCTGGGAGTTGAAGTCCACAAGTCATAAAAGGGCCACGTTTGAAGACCCCTATCTTAGACATTTGCATATGTAACATTCCTGCTGTGGACTTTGATTTCTTTTAACAGAATAAAGAAGTTGAAAGGGACCTTGGAGATCTTCTAGTTCCACCCTCTACTCAAGCAGGAAACCCTACACCATTTCAGACAAATGGTTGTCTTCCTAAAAACGTCCAGTGTTGGAGCACTCACAATTCTGGAGGCAAGTCATTCTACTGACTAATTGTTTTAACTGTCAGAAAATTTCTCTTTAGTTCTCTCCTTTATTAGTTTACATCCACTGCTGTTTGTCTTGCTTTCAGGTGATTTGGAGAATAGGTTGACTCCCTCTTCTTTGTGACAGCCCTTCAAATATTAGAACACTGTTATCATCTGGTTCTCTTTTCATTAAGCTAGACATACCCAATTCCAGCAACTGTTCTTTATATGTTTTAGTCTCCAACCCCCTAATTATCTTTGTTGCTCTTCTCTGCAGACTTTCTAGACTATCAATATCTTTTTTATATTGTGGCGACCAAAAACTGGGTGCAGTATTCCAAGTGAGGTCTTACCAAGGGATTATAAAGTGGTACCAATGTTTTATATGATCTTGATTCTACCCTTTTTTTTTTTTTATTAAAAGTTTTATAAATTTTACAAAAAAGAAAAAAGAATACAAAACAAGAGACAACATATACAAAAAAGATAAAACTAAACAATACATATATATAAAAAAAAAAACCCCACCCCTCCCAAACCCCCCCCCTCCCTTCCCCCCCCCTGAGCTTCCCAGAGCAGAATATAGGCTTAAGAAATAAAAATAAAAATTAAATTAAGAACTTTATATTTATATATATAAAAAGATTATCTATAATATATATGAAAATAAAACTTATGAAAAAACTATATAATATTTTTGTATACCCAATCTAAATTGTATAAATTTTATCCATTTATCCCAAACAGCAAGAAACTTCTCTTGCGTTTGTTGCTTTAAGAAAGCCGAAATCTTTGCCATTTCCGCCAGATAAGCTACTTTAAGAAACCATTCCTGCAATGTAGGCAAAGATTCCTTCTTCCAATATTGTCCTACTAACAGCCTAGCGGCTGTAATCAAATTTAACATCAAAACAACCTCCTTTGTATCACAATCTGTAACAATACCTAACAAAAATAATTGCGGAGTAAATTTTACCCTCCTTCTAAAAATTCTCTGGATATTCCACCATATTTTGATCCAAAATGCTTTTATCTCTCTGCATGACCACCAAATATGATAATAGGAAGCCTCCTTATAACCACATCTCCAACATTTGGGTTGCACGTCAGGGTACATATAAGACATTTTTTGTGGATCAAGGTGCCATCTATAAAACATTTTATAAAAATTCTCCCTTAAGTTCTGTGCTTGTGTAAATTTGACATTTCTCACCCAAATATTTTCCCAGGTGTCCAATGAAACTGGCTCACCAAAATTCTGCGCCCATCTTATCATACAATCTTTAATTAGTTCCGTTTCTGAATCCAATTCAACTAAAACCGCATAAATTCTCTTAATGTGGGTTTGTCTTGAATCCTTCACTTGCTTGATAAGATTTTCATCTTCTCTAAGAAAACCCACCTTACAATCCATCTTC